TTTCTTCATTACCCATTCAAGCCGTCTCCAGCCATTATTAGTCTCAAAGTGGGTTCCTCGTCATCAAATTTGAAAACATATAGTTTATTTGTGTTTTTCCATCTGTTTAACTTTTCTGGGCTTCAATAAAGTAAAACATATTTGAATTAATTCCTGATATAACTATTGAAAATAGATGCATGTATAACATGTAATATTTTCTGGATTTACAAGAATCAAATTCTGCAGGGAAAATATAATAAAACGTTCCCATATTATGTCTCTTCATGTTTTGAAAGTTTCAGTTTCATTTTTGTGTATATGATGTATATATATTTGTGTATATTTCAGGATGAAGAATGTCTTCGACCTGGTGATGCAACTGATTTAACATTCCTTGATAAACTTGAGACAACTGTTGGATCACATCCACATTTCTTGTCTCACAAACTAGCAGACAACAAGACCAAAAAAACCTTATCGAGAGAGGCATGTAAATTTCTGATACAGATCAAAAACTTAAATTTTAAAACAGTTAATTGTGCTTCTAGATGCTTAATGTTACTAATCATACAGATTGATATCTCTATAAATAATGCTGCATTTTTCCTTGTTTCTTCTTTGTTATGATTATGAACTTCATAATGTAAATGTAAGCAAAATATTTATCTCAGTCAGCAGAGAGTTCTGATTTATTCTTCAGGTATTTTTTACAACAGCCAGTTTAGTGAGGAAGCTGCTTTCTTTCCACGTTGTCAGGAGTAATATATTCTAAGATATTAAATTGTTTAGTTATTACACTAAATAACAGACTTATACATCCAAAATTCTCAACTGCTTCAGAAATGTTGTCTTGCATTTATAAACAGTCTTTGTAAAATGTATATTATAAAATGATAACATTTCTCATTCATAATCTGAGGAGTTGTAATTTTTTTTTTCACAATCAGACTTTTTTTCTTTCCATGTAAAGCCACATGGTTGACTTACAGGTAGCAATTGTAAAGTGAAAAATTAAACGTCATTTCCTGTTACAGATGATCTTATTAACAAGATCAGTTTTAGAAAAATTTCATAATCACTTTATTATACAGATAGTCATGTGCATGATTTTTACATAATTATTAACTTCTTAATATTGTTTCTAGGAATTCAGACTCAAACATTATGCAGGAGATGTAACATATAAAGTTGAAGGTAAGTTTTTCTGTGCCCTCGAAAAGCTTAATCATTTTATATTTCTTTTTATTAAAATTTAAAATTTATTTTCCTTCTAATGTATATATTAGGAAAAATTTCAGTCTCCAGTATTGTTACAACCTTATTGGTATTTGTAAATACATATCAGTAGTAAGTGTAACCCCTTGTTGTGTAAAAGTGATAATCATTTGTTACTATTTGTGTAACAATCTCATCTTCTGTTCTGTATGACAATCATAATCACCTGTTGGCTGTATTATTTCAGGTTTTCTGGACAAGAATAATGACCTACTGTATCGAGATCTTAAAAGGGTAATCTTGCTATGAAGTTTTACTACTCACACTTGACTTTATTATGGAAGTAGTTTTTTCTGTTTCATTAATCTTGAAAATTTCTTTGAATTCATTGCACAATTTTTCATTACTAAGTATTTTTAAATATTTATATTTTAATTTTCCTCAAGAGAATGACTTCTGGGACACAATTAATAATGCTGATAAGCTGAAAACAGTAGCAAGCTTTTAACAAACAGATAAAAAGAAAATTCTGTCATTTCTGATATAAACTTAACATTATTTGAAAGTTTTCAGAAACCAATTCATCCATAATGTAAAGGAAGGTATCAGTTTTGGAATATACTTTGAGAGTTTTCTTTACTTTAGGGTTATACATGTTACTCTGAACTAAGCTCAAAATTTGATGTGATCCCTTGTGAATTATATCTGCTTCAGTGATTTTACATAGTTTACAAGTGCCATGATGAGTTTAAAAGAATATATTTTTATTAGTAATCAAAACATATAGTCTAAATTCTAATTATGGTGTGCCAAATGTGTCACTTTCCTATATTGTAACCACATAAACAGTGTCAAATTAATTTGATAATATAACTTTGCTTAATGCCAGGACTAATAACATTAGATATATATATATATATATATAG